CCAACCGCCCAATGCCTCGGCGGCCCCGGCAGGTGCGGAAACCGCGGGCGGCAGGGCGACCCCCCCCCCACATACCTGTGCTCCGGAGTAGCCCTGCGGCCGAGGGGCGCGGGGGCAAGCAGCCGCTCCGCGTCGTCGTCCTGCTCCTCACTAGGCCTCACAGCCCCAGCCTCGCGTAGGTCGCCACTCCCGGCCTCTCCCGGCTCCGCACAGCCCAACCCACCGCGGTAACCTCGAGACAGTCACGTGAGACGCGCCGCCGCCGTGTCGGAGACTCCGCCCTCCTTTAGTCAGGTGACGCGACGCGACGCGTCGATCACCGAGGCAGCAGCGCCTAGAGCGACCCCACTCTGCGAAGCCGCGGGAGCCATGTGTTTTGAGGGCGCCCGCGCTCTCCGGAGCTCTTGCAAGGGAAAGGCGGCTGGGCGCGATGGGAGTGGAGCCAAAGTTGCTCTTCGCGCTCCAAGGACATTTCGGGGAGGGGGGCGGGCGGATCGGTGTCCTCTCCCTTGCGCTCCGCAAGCGGCGCTATGGATACGCTGCCCCTGCCGAGGGAGGCTTCAGTTGAGGGCGGAACTCCCCAGTCTGCGACAGATGAGGCGATCTGGCACGGCTTCGCTTACCGCTTCCCATATGGTCTAGCGGTTAGGATTCCTGGTTTTCACCCAGGCGGCCCGGGTTCGACTCCCGGTATGGGAAGGCGCTAACTTTTTTTTTTTTTTTTTGCCTGGCGCTGCTTCTTGGAGAACCGGGCACGGGGCCAGGTCCCAAGCGCGCCGCCTCACCAGGGTCTAGCCTCTTGGCCAGCAGGGCAACCGTGGGGATCAGTTGCCCGGAGGGCAATACCCCTTTCAGTGATTGGTCGGGCCGGTTCCGCTGGGCGGAGCCTGGGGAAAGAAAACGCACCTGCGGCGCTGCCCGGGGCAGAGGGGCGATGGAGACAGCGGCGGAGGGAAGAGGTAGGCTCCTGGGGAGTGGTGGGGAGGGGGCTGCAGGCTTTGCTGTGGCTTTTCTGTCCCACCCCGGCGAAGGGGCTTCTTAGGGACCTTGGCGGATGCTCCGCTGGCCCTCCTGGAGGGAAGCGCAGCAGGGAAGCGCAGCTGAGCCGGCAAAGGGAAGGGGCTTCTTCCCGAAGAGGGCGAGGGGTGGGTGGGTCTTGGGCGGACTGAGCGTCCTGACACCTGCGGCTTTCTCCCCGGCAGGGCTGGCGACCGACTCCCTGGAGGGCTTCTTGCTGGACTTCGAGCAGGCGGTGCGGGACTTCGAGCAGAGGGGCTCCAGCCCTTACGACAGCGGCATCGACGACTCGGGAAGTGAGCGCCCGCTTCTTCCTTCCAGGGGGGGGGACGGGGACGGAGGGGGGGGCAATCCTCTCGCTTCGGCTCCCCTCCACATTTAGGGGGGCAGCGCCTGGGAGGGAGAGGGGGAAAGACCCCCGGTCGCCTTCCTGCCTAGCTGCACGACCCCCCCTCCTCCTCCTTCACAAGTTGCTTCTCTCTCTGAAGTCAGCATCCACCGGCAGGCCAATAAATGATTAAATTGGGGGGGGGGGATTTCGCAAAGGGCAGCCAGCTAAGCCAGCGTTCCTCTTTGCTTTCCCTGCAGGCAAAAGCATCTCTCCCAGTAGCAGCCTGGACAGCAGCCAGGAGGACCTCACGGCTGCGGTGGCCTCTTCCCACACGCCTTCCTCCACAGGTACAGCTTGGGAGTCCGAGGGAGAGGATGGGAAGCTGCAAAGTGGAGCTGTGTTTCCATTTGTGGGCCAGAGACAACAATCTGGGGGGCTCTCTTATTGTCCTTGGAGGGGCCATGTCCCCCAAAATGGAGTCAAAACAGACCCCCCCCTTCTGGGCCCATTTGACTTTTTGGGAAGGTTCTTTCTTGTTGTAATATAACTCCTTGTGTAGGTGTGGGTCACCCATGGCCCAGTTCATANATTTGCCGGTTCTCTGAACTACTCAAAATTTCCACTACTGGTTCTCCGGAACCTGTCAGAACCTGCTGGATTTCACCCCTGCTTGGACCCAGGGGGTTGCTGTCCAGATGATTCTGCAGTGGATACTCAGGACAGGAGGCCCCGTCTGTCTGTCTGTCTGTCTGATTCTCCCTGGGCTGGCCTGGTGCTGCCTCCTCCAGATCACAAAGCAGTTGCAACACAGGCAGGGGAGCCCCCAGCCCCACCTTCCCTTGGGGCACAATCCTGTCCTGCCGAGGGGCTGTGTGCCTTTTAAGGACAACCTGGCTCCTGAGCTTCAATTCGCCCAAGAGCCAAAATGGGGCTCTCCCTGCTCACATCCCTGCTATCTTATGCGCACGTCTGCATACTTGGCTACGCCCAGGGCTGACTGTGGCCTTATCATGGCTAGTGAGCATTGCCGGCCAACTGCCTCCATGGCTCAGCAGGTAATCCTGCCCTTGGCCACGGCTTATGGATCTCCGTCGCCCAAGTCATCGCTGTCCCTGGAGGGGCTTTTCCAGCTTCTTGGGATGAGAAGCGAAAAGCAAGAAAGCCCATTTGCCTCTTGAAAAAGCACCTCTGGGACTGCCCATGCTGGGTCTCGTGGTGAGGAGGTCTTCAGCTCATCAGCAGATCAGATTCCCATGGAGCAATTTAGAAGGCTGGCTTGCGGTGGGGGAGGGGAGGGGAGTGGGTAGTGGCAATGATCCTGTGAAAACCCCCCTTGCAATTTCAATTCCTTTCTCTTCGGCATCTTCCTTTCTGAAACAGGATGTGAAGATCAGGAGTGACGCTGCAGCAGGAAGCCAGAAGTCAGGCGCCTACTCCCATCCTAAGCGAAGGCCTTTGGGTTCATGGGGGGGATTTCCTGGGAAAACCCCAGTTGAGAAGCGAAGGCAGCTACGGAGCCCCCAGCCCTTCGCCTTCAGCTTTTAGCGACTGCAGCAGGGAAGCCGTCTTTCTCAGTAGNTGTCTTTTCTCCACATTGGCCTCATGGACGACCCACGGGTACATCACATTTGGTAGCAGAGGATGGTTACTTCGCACTTTCTCTCTCCCTCTCCCTCCCTCCCTCCTTCTCCCTCCCTCCCTCTTTCCTAATTCTCCAGTTCCACCAGCCTGTGTGGACATTTATGACTAGGAGAGAATAAACCACACCTTGACAAGATTTAATTTGGCTCTTTTTTTTCCTCCCTTTTGGTATTTGCCGACATCCAATTGTTCCAATCTTTTATTTGCTCTGATACAATCAAGATTTGTTAGGGTAAGGAAACTAACAAGTTGACCGGTCTTATCTTGTAGCTAAACTCGGAGACACCCGTGAACTGGAAGCCTTCATCGCAGATCTGGACCAAATCCTGAAGGGTAGGTGTGGGATCTATCCCCTCCCCAATAGGAAGCCCAAAGGATCCTCTGGTGAGCCAGGATTCTGCCTTTGTCTGTGTGTGGGGGCTTCTGGAGAGCCCCTTGGGACACAAATGGTGCGGGCAGGTGCATTTATAGGATCTCTGGGCTTTAAGAGAGGTGCTTTGGTCACTTCCCACTCAGGTTGGTGACTGGATGTGTATCCTGGCTCTCTGTATCTCTGACTGATACAGAGGAGGCTGGGAAGGGCCCAAGCCAGAAGGTCTGAGGCTTCTTCGTTTTAGCCTGCTTATTCCTTTCTTGTAGAAATGTGACCGGAAGAATGAAAATCCGGCCTGCTGATGTCTTGCTGAATGGACCCAGCCTTTTTATTTTCCTGGGAGAAGCCCCCCCAAACCAAAATTCCCAACGCATCAGCCATGACTGCCCTCAAAACCAGCCTTACTTCGCAACTGGGATCAACAACGGTTCCTCAAATCCTTTTTTTTTGGGGGGGGGGGGTCTAGAGGTCAAAGCAGAAATCCAATAAGTCGGGATCCCAAAGGTGTTCTGCCACTGGATTTATTTTTGAAACTCCACCTTGAAGAGAAAGCGGGATTACTTTCCGAAATGCATGTACTTCTCAAAGAGACTTTCTCCCCCCCCCCTTTTGCTTCCTTGTGACCATCTGCGTGGAGGGAGCCCCCAAGAGTCTCCTTGGGAGATGAAGCCCTGCTTTGTTCCCTCTGCCCTGGTGGGCTCTGCTGCAGAGGAATGACCTGGGCAGGGCTGGGGGGGGGGGGCTCCCAGCTTCTTGAGGGGGACTTGATATGGAGGGGAAAACCTGGGTAGGGGGATGTCCGTCCAGCTGCTGGACTGCTGAGGTTGACCTCCAAGTTCGAAGGGGGCACTGGTGAGAGGGGCTGCATCTCTTTCTGCATGGAGCTCACTTCCAGAGAAGTGGGGAGGGGCTGGTCTTTCTCCCAGGTGGTGGGGGAAGAGAACGGTGGGAAGTGGGGGATTAGCAGTTTGGAGTTGGAGTTTTTCTTGATTCTGGTTTTTATTTTTTTATTTTTTATTTTATAATTACTATTGTATGGTTGTAAGAATTCCCAGAGTTCTTGTTTTAAGATGGATAGCTGTATTCTAAATATTTTAAATAAATGTAAATAAAATGCTGTCGTCCTTGTGGGTTTTGCGGTAGAAGGGTTCATAGCTAATGAAATAAATGCAAAATAAGCATGTCTCTAACGGTTTGGAAACCGGAATAAAAGGGATCCCTTATTCCTTCCTCTTTACTCTCAATGCTGCCTTTAATTCTCTGCTCCTGGAGCTTTTCTGCCTTGCTGGGCTGTGTGGCACCCATGCCAACCAGAGCCTGATGCCAGTGTCCTGTTGCCGCTGCTTAAACGCTGCTTCAGAGCTGCGAGGTAGCCCGAGGCGCCACGGCAGCGCGTGGCGGGGACGGGGAAGAGAGCAACGCGACTCGGAGCGCCTCTCCCTTGCGGCGAGCCACTTCCTCAGCCCACGGGCGGCGCCGAGCAGCGCCGGCTTTCCGGGCGCCCCTCTCGTGCTCGTGGCAAGGGGAGCAGAGCGCTCGCATCCTGCCCAAGACCGAGCGTGGGGCGGACAGGTGGTTTCCGGGACTGTCCTCTTTCAGAAAGCGGGAGGGAGAGGCGGGACCCCCGCAGGCTGCTCGGCCACAAGGAAGAAGGTGGTCGCGGCCTCACCTGGCCTGGCTTCAGCCTCCAGAGACGTGCGGCTTAGAATCGGCTTGCAGTTGGGCTTCAGCGGAAGAAACTCCCCGGAGCATCGCCTCTCCCTCCCTCCCTCCCTTTGGAAGTTCTGGGATGGAGCCTGCAAGCGCCCGATCCCCAGAACATCGCTTTACCCGTGGGCGAGACCCCACACCCGCTACGCGGAGCCCCGGCCGAAGGGAAAAGGCCACGGCTGGCGCTTGTAGCCTCCTGGCAAAGAATCCGCTCCTCTCGGAAGCCCGGGCCGCGGAGTTCTCCTGCTGCGACCTGGGAAGGAGGGAGCGCCCCCAAACCCCTTTCTGCTGGGGGAGGGAAGTCCCTGCTGAGCCTCCAGAGCCCGACTAGACCCACAGAGACCTCAGGGTCCCAAGAAAGATTAGACTTAAAAAAAAAACAAATTAGGAATGGTCCAGGTGTTTTTTAAAATGTGCTGTGTTCAAACCTACAGGGCTACAGGTTTCAAAGGCAGAAGACAAGTGGCTAGTCCCTGCCAAACGCTAAAGCACAGCTGCAGAAGAAACCCCGAGTGACTGATTAATAGAAACCCTGAGCCCAAAAAAACATGGTTTCTAAACCACCACACTGGCAGCCCCCCCCCCCTTCTTATTGTAAATATGTTTTATTTTCATTTCATTTCATAGAGTCACATATATACTGTGCATAACCGGGGCATATAACATTGAACAATAAATACAGCCCGCCCTCTTGTCAACAATACCCCCCAAAATACAAACCCAATACACCACTTCAGCCCACCATACACCCTTTCTTTCGCCCCCCTCCAACTTTCGTTCTTCCCTCCAACGTTCCCCTCTANTTTTATTTCCATTTTTAATTTTTTCCGTCGCGCTGTGATGACGTCACATGCGCGCTTTCGTCGAGCGCGATTTTGTCCTCCGCGCTTTTGACGGGTCACGGCGAAAACATGAAAATAAGGGTTTGGATGGAAAAAAAAACCCAGAGAAACGTCAGTCCTCCGGGAGTGGGCGGCATACAAGACAAATAAATAAATAAATAAATAAATAAGTATGTAACCCTTCATTCAGATTAGGTAAGTCAAAAAGAGTTTTGAAGAGACTTCAACTGCAGGTTAAGTTCTGTGGGGGGAAGAATTGGCGGCTGAAATCGTTCCAGTTCAAAACCACCTTCCTGTCCAACCCTATTTTGGAAACCTGCAAGCAGGAGAACGTCACAGGAGGCACGCCAAGGCTGAGAAAAAGACCTGCGAGTTTCTTTGTTTTGGTTCTCTTGGTCCCAGCTTGAGCATCAAGACACCTCCTGACCCTATTTTGCCCCTCGGGGCAACCCATATTTTGACTCTCTGGAGCTACTTCACAAGGATGTGGCTAGACCACTGCAATGACCTCAGACTTCATGAGTAGCAACGGAGCTGGGAAGTTGCAAGAGGCAGTGAGCCACCCTGGGGCCTTCCAGAGCAGAGGTGCCCAGAGTTCACAACTCTCCCGTCTTAAAAGAGAAAACTGTTGAGAAACGATGACACGCTGCCCTTACGTGCTATGAGTAGCCCAGGAGTGCCTGGACTGGCATTCAGGGGTCAAGAGGGAGAAAGTGCGTGGTGACCACGCCATCTCTCTCTCTCAGCTGACGGGCATCACAAGGCTCCTTTGAGACAAGCGGGAGGGAAGCCATGAGTTCCTCCTTCCGTTCCTTGCAGAGTTTCAGGATGACAAAGATCCCGTCATATCCAGAAAATAGCTACGGTGACAGGGAAAGTGAAACTCACCAACCGGGCCTGCTCCGTGACCCAGAGACCCCTCTCTCCTCCCCTCCCGTGGCCCAGACCGTGGGAAAGCCATGTAGAGTTATCCAGGGAGGGTCGGGTGGAGAATCTAGGTCAGGGGTAGTCAACCTTTTTATACCTACCGCCCACTTTTGTGTCTCTTGTTAGTAGTAAAATTTTCTAACCCCCCCCCGGTTCCACAGTAAATGGTGATTTATAAAGTAGGGAAGTAACTTTACTTTATAACATTTATAAAGCAGAGTTACAGCAACCCCCCTACCTCCCATCATGAAAGCTGGAACGCCCACT